TTAAAGTTAGAGACTATGTGCTCGCATAAAAAATGTTAGTTTTAGATACTATGTGCTTGTTTCAAAGAAGTGAGTGTTAGAGGCTGTTCTTTTATCAAAGAAGTTAGTGTTAGAGACTGTGTGCTCGTATCAAAGAAGTTAGTGTTGGAGACTATGTGCTCGTATCAAAGAAGCTAGTGTTAGAGACTATGTGCTCGTGTGAATGACAAGAGTGTTAAAAAATTTTTGTTCTTATAATCAAGAATGTTAGACTTTGTGCTTGTATAAATGTAAGCTGTTAGAGGCTATTTGCTTGTATGAATGTAAATTGTTAGAGACTTTGTGCTTGTATAAGCAAAGGCTGTTTGAGACTGTGTGCTTGTATCAAAGAAGCTAGTGTTAGAGACTATGTGCTCATATCAAAGAAGTTAGTGTTAGAGACTATTTGCTTGTATCAAAGAAGTTAGTGTTAGAGACTATGTGTGCGTATCAAACAAGTTAGTGTTAGAGACTATGTGCTCGTATCAAAGAATCTAGTGTTAGAGACTATGTGCTCGTATGAATGACATGAGTTTTAAAGATTATTTGCTCTTATAATCAAGAATGTTAGACTATGTGCTTGTATAAATGTAAACTGTTAGAGACTATGTGCTTATATAAGTAAAGGCTGTTAGAGACTATGTGCTTGTATCAAAGAAGGTAGTGTTAGAGATTGTTTCCTTGCATTAATGTAGGCTGTTGGAGACGATGTGCTTGAACAATTGAAAGCTGTTAGAGACTATTTGCTGTAATCAAGCTCACTTCAATTTCGTTCCATGTCTGCTTCGGCAGGTTCATGTTCAGACACGTGATCTTAATTTTAAGAAATCTGGTCATATTATTCCCTTAAGATCTGATAAGCATTGATACACTTAATATAATATTAGAAGATAGTGCAAGGAAGAAAGTCGATAATTTAATAAACTCACATTTCTCAAGTTCTCTCTCAAAGTCACATTTCTCCCGGTCTCTCTCAAAGTCAAATTTCTCCGGGTCTCTCTCAAAGTCACATTTACATAAATTCTAAACCGTCCATTTGGGTATTGTTTTCCAGTTAAGTTGTCTTAATAGAATATTTCTAGTGAACCTGTAGTCTGTCTTCCTACAGAGTATAAATAAACGGTGTTGACCCTTTAAGATAGATCCAAATAAATGGAAATGTTGTTGTATTTTATTATACGATGTCATTTGCAATTCGCTGCGTTTTACAGAATTTAGATTTTTCAATGACTTAAACATTTTAAAAAAATTACAATGCTTTGCATAGATATTCTTTTTTTTTATTATCAAATTTTAGTAATAATAAAATTATTCGTATACAACATTTACATTTTGCCAAGTTCACTTCATTCTTATAAACTAGAATAAATGACCCGATGTTATCGGGATAATAATGGTAGGTCCTTTGCGATAATTTCTAACTGCTATTTCAAAAACTCATCCCAATTCATAACTTTTAAAATGTAATGATATTTACGTTTCTAACATCATTAAGTTTTGAGAAGTGTTTATCTGCTATATATGATGCGCGAACCCTACACACTATCACGCTGCTAAACTAATTTTCCCACCCTCTTAACATGAACTTTAATTACCCAGTCTAAATTATTACTAATTATATCACTTTTGTCACTCAAGAAGTTAATAGAGGGACAACTACTCCGCTAGAGAAATACTTTTGATTTACCCCTTTCCAAGCCCTTGAATTACATCTTTTTTTTTCTCAAAATTTTTTAAAAAACCTAATCTTAAATTTACAACAAAAAATCTATATATATCATATAAATAAATTTTGTGTTACAGGAATTCGATATATATATTGATATCTTCATCAAAAATGTAAACACATTTTTGCATTTTTTAAAAATTATACATTATCAGAAAATCATAAAACAAATAATTCTTTTATCTAAGAAGAATCTCGCAACTGTTTTTCATGCATGCCTATATCAGATTTGACTGTCTTAAAAAAAATTAAATTGTTAATCTTATACAGATACACACGTCTTTTTGCAAAGTAACAACAAAAATATATTTTCATTTTTAAAAAGAAAGAAAATATTAACCCATCTTCATTTGTCAAAATTTAATTTTTAAGTATGTAAAATGAATGGATTCATTTATTCATGGATATATTTATATAAATGTACCCAAGATTTGTTAACGCCATTGATTTTCTTAATTGGTAAACATTTGTTCATTTGTAAAAAGATAAGTTAACATCTATTTTTTTCAAAATGACATACCATAGGATTTAAATATATTATCATCCACGTGAAAAGAAAATGATTTAAAGAAACCTAAGAGTTTTGGCGAAATGGGCTATTCGCGCTATACGTCATTTGCGTGATTATTTAGAACAAATTAATTTGAATTTTTATTTCGCAATATTAACAACGCACTAAAAGACGCACTAAAAACGACCGATGCTTGGGTTTTCCCGATAAATTTGATTACGGTGTAATTCTTTGATCAAGATTTTTTTTTTTATTTGTTCATAACTTTTAAACACATATAAAATGCTTAAAATAGTTCCTAAGTTGATACTTTAAATGTATTTGTAATTTATAATATTATAACTTTAACTTTTAATAAAATAAAAGCCGATTCAAAATATTTTTTGCGCATCTAGCTTTATTCGGTTTCCGTAAAAAAATAGAAAATAACTATGATTGTTTTTAGGAATCCGAGCGTACTTAAATCATATCTCCCTCTTGGCGTTATATCACTCTAGCTCATTCTTATACAAAATGGCTCTGTACACTTCATTCTTAGAAATAACTCTGTACACTTCATTCTTAGAAATGGCTCTGTACACTTCCTTCCTAGAAATGGCTCTGTGCACTTCATATTTCGCTTGTCAGGGTTTTAGACTGAAGTGTTTATCATAAGTCATTTTTTGCGGCGATATTTCTGCTTTATAAATAGCGTTGAAATTTCTATAGTTGGCCATGTCCTCACAGCTTCAGAGGATTGTAAATGCTATACAACTATCATAACATCTGTTTCCATCTCGATTTTCTTAAGATGAAGTCGGGGAAAAGGGGGGGGGGGGCTCNTTTTTTTTTTTTTTTTTTTTTTTTTTTTTTTTTTTTTTTTTTTTTCTAGACAAATTCCAGTCTACAATCGGAAAACTAAATATGAAAAAAGAAAAATTCATATCAACAATAGATAAACCATCCGACTTGATCCCGCAGACAAAATAGAGAAATTGATCGATTGGTCAGTAGTTGGCCACGTCTCAAAATACACATCCGGGGGTATCCTGTTTCCATGCTTGGACATAGAATTCGGTCGAAATGCCTAGTCGGGGTGTCGGAGGGGGGAGGGGTGACGTTTTAGGTGTCTGCATCTCGAATTCATCTTGTTTCACTCTTGCAACTTTCCCACAACAAGTTTGTGTCATAAGCTGCACGAAATGCAATTTTAAAAACCTCCGGTTGTTAGCAGTTCGTGGTCAAACGTGGACAAAATTTTCTTCAGAGGTTGAATCGCTATTACATTCTACGTTCATTACAGATTTCTAGAGGAAAAAAAATTCTAAATATATCGCGTGATTCCTTAGATGATTAATGTTTTCTCGACATTTTTTGTGGTAATTTTATGTTGATTTTTATAACAAATGAGATCCCAAAGAAGAAGTGTTGCAAGTAAAAGGCATTGTATTTGAAATGAAAGGTCAAACCCGATCATCAAAAAGAGATAAGCCTATTTCAGAGGTTACGATTTTCTTGTACTCTTTCAGTCTCTCGTGTTCTGAGAGTGTCATGTTTTGTAACCAGTTTAATTTGCCAGTGCTTTACGAAGTTAATCTTACAGCAGTACTATACTAAGTTAATATTACAGCAGTACTTTACCTAGTTAGTATTACAGCAATACTTTACTAAGTTAATAACACAGCTTTACTTTACTAAGTTAAGATCACAGAGGTACTTTACCAAGTTAATAACACAGCTTTACTTTACCAAGTTAATAACACAGCGGTACTTTACTAAGTTAATATCACAGCAGTACTTTACTAAGTTATTAACACAGCAGTACTATAAACGTTATTAATTGTAAGTCCTCCTGTGTCATCTCCAACATAGGATCAGTACGGCATTTCTTAGGGCATAGGGAACACTGCTATAAGAAATAAATCAACTGCTTCCATTAAGTAATACGTAGCGGTCTGTGGACTTCACAAAACGGATCTGCGACTCCACAGAAGTCACCAAACTACTAAAGGGTTCTAGAGGGTAACACCAAACTACTAAATGGATCTTCAGGGTAACACCAAGCTACTAAAGGTGCCTGCAGGGTAACACCAAGCTACTAAAGGTGCCTGCAGGGTAACACGAAACTACTAGAGGAGTCTGTAGGATAAACCGGTATGAGAACTAATGCTTTACAGAAACTACAGAGTTTTGTGCCCAGTTCTTTGTAAATTACATCGCTAGAGAATTGTATCTCTTGTATTTTTGTTGTAATCTCAATTGATTAAGAAGTTGTTTTTTGTTATGTTTCAGATATTCGCCCATTACAGATAGATAGAAGGAAAGGATCCCGTTTTCTCATGTGGATATTTTGTGTCAGGAGATCTGTATAATTACACCAAGAGATGAATCGTTCTGACGCCAGTTTAACATAAAGCGAATCTTTACGTATTTTCAATTGAAGAATTAACTTGTGCTTGCTGATACCAATATCCAGTTTGAAAACAACAGTCAATATTTTATGCAGGTCCACGTTGTGTGTGTTGTGGTCCAATATTATCTTAATCTGAGAACAGGAGCCCAAAACAAAATATCCGGAGATCCTGACAATCCGGACTGACATCTGAAAGAGGTCATTGATTTTTTTGTCCTTTTATTCGCGCACGAACGATTTTTTTTTCCTAGCATGATTGCAAGGTGTGTTAAACGAATCAGAAACTCCAGTCCCAGGATGTTGTTAATAACAGTGCGCACGTGAGTGGGCTAAATTCCAGGGCTTAGGAAACAATGGCCGTGGTGGTATCTCTCCACAATCAGGCGCCGTATCGCCGCACGTACAACAGCCGGGAGAGGCTCAACGTGGAGAATGACCGCAGTGAACTTTGGCTGCATCCCGGGGACCGGAACTTCCACAGCGCCGGCAGCAACCCCAACCTGGCCCGGCCTATCAAACCGGTGGCGCCGCGCAGGAGATGTGTCACGCTGGATGGAGAGTTGCTGCCCATTCAGCACATGTGTCGTCTCAGCACGTGTGACCGGATCACCATCAACGTGAGCGGGAAGTATTTCGAGACGTGGAGAAAGACCCTGGAGGACCACCCGAACACACTGCTGGGCGATCCCGACCGACGGATTAAATACTACGACAAACACAAGGACGAGTACTTTTTCGACAGACATCGCCCGACCTTCGACGCCATATTCGATTACTACCTATACGGCGGGGGATTAAAAAGACCGCCCCCCGTCCCAGATGATATATTTCTTTCTGAGCTCGACTTCTTCGAGATAGAGCGACCGGTCATCGAGAAGTACAGACGCGGTGAGGGTTACATCACGGAGAACGTCGTGCTCCCGGAGCGAGGCTTAAAACGAAAAGTGTGGATGCTCATGGAATACCCGGAGACCTCCATCTACGCCTACATCATCGCCGTCATTTCCGTTCTCATCACGACGGCTTCCATCGCGCTCTTCTGCGTGGAGACCCTCCCGGAGTTGAGCTCCACGCACTGCGTCCAAAACAATCCACCCAACTGGAGCGACGCCTTCTTCCTCGTGGAGACCGTCTGCTCGGCCTGGTTCACCTTCGAGGTCATCATCCGCTTGTTCGCGTGCCCCAGCAAAATTGCCTTCTTTAAAGACTTCAAGAACCTGGTCGACGTCACGGCCGTGATACCCTACTACGTCGGCCTGTTCAACATCCTGTCTACCATGACGTGCGAGAGCGCCAAGTCCTCCGCCTCGCTAGCCTTCCTCCGAGTGTTTCGCCTCGTGCGCATCTTCAAACTGACCAAGCATTCGGCCGGTCTTCAGGTGCTCATTCTGACCTTCAAAGCGAGCGTGGAGGGGCTGTGCCTGTTCCTGGTCGCGCTCACCGTGTGTATACTTGTCTTCTCCAGCGCCGTCTACTTCGCCGAAATGGGCATCGAGGGTTCTCAAATTAAGAGCATCCCCGACGGATTCTGGTGGGCCATCATCACCATGACAACGGTCGGCTACGGTGATGTCGCCCCGAAAGGCCCCATGGGTAAACTGCTGGGATCAATGTGCGCCGTGGCGGGGGTTCTCACACTGGCTATACCAGTTCCGATTATTACGGAGAATTTCAATAAGTTTTACTCACACAAGACGGGTAGAGGCCGTATCTAATGCCAGGCATGTTTTTCAAGTGTATTTACCTCAATTATGTTTAGCAGTTCCATTTGTGCATGTTTTTTACAATAGCACGAGATTTTCTTTGAGATGTGGTTACAAGATGAGCAACACGATACTAGGGTTAAATGTTGTGTATTATTTAGATCAGGTTAGTGAAGTCGACCAAACAATGTTGAATGTACGACTCAGACTTAAATTACGACACCGAGTAAAGGATGACTTAGACTGACAGATGTGGACTGACCCATTCATACTGACAGACTTAGACTGACACGTTTAGACGGGCATGCGTGGGCTGACACGTTTAGACTGGCATGCGTGGGCTGACATGTTTAGACTGGCATGCGTGGGCTGACACGTTTAGACTGGCATGCGTGGGCTGACATGTTTAGACTCCTAGAGGGTTGCAGAGGCCATTTTAGGTTTTAGTGATGGTGAACACTTTGATCTAATTGCGTCTAATATTTGAAACATTTCTAACTCTGATGTGGGCGGCATACACGCCGATACCCTCCTCATCCACCAACGTACATGAAAGTATGTACACTTAAAATGTTAGATCTGATGCTAATCAGAAACGAAAAAATTATCAACTGAAAACTCAAAATTTTGGGGATATTGTATTGGCTTTATGTTTCTCATCCAATAGCGTATAAAATGCCACGGCTTGTCCCCACACATAAAGTTGCCATATGTTCACCATCTTGGTCATACGAATCTTAGTGACACAACATAATCAAGTCATAAATATAGACTGACCGACAGATGCATGCTGGGACATATTATGTTTCCGAAGTCAAGCAATGTTAGATCATGAACTTTTTTTCCTTGAAATAGTTAAGTGTCAAAGTTGCAACAGGCGGTAGTGGATTGCATCGAGAATGTGTGAGCTCCAGACGATGCTAAGATGCTAGCAGGAAAACAAAGCGACCCGTTTGGTCGGCTGTCTTTCTTCGTGGAATCTTTTCCATCTTTTCTATTTCAGAAAAGTAAGCTGAAGTGATTGAATGTAAGTATCATTATCTAAGGGATTACCCGTGAAATGGGAATGTTATGTAAGTGTTATTATCTAAAAGGGTTATCTGTAATGATGAGGATGTTATCTGCACAGAATATGTTGTTTGGTACTCAATTTTTAGCAACGACAATTTTCTTCTTAACTTTTATTCAATTTATGAAATAGTATGCAATTTATCGCGTTTTTTCCCCTCGCATTTCATGATTGTATACAATTACATGTTTAAGATGCCCCTTACACTTGTCATTTACTCCATTACATATGTCATCTTCTCAGCTGCACTGGTCAATCCATGACTTTTGGTCAATTCATATATGTTATTGGTCATCCTCAACTTTTAATAGCAGTTTCCGAAGTTAATCTATAGACTTAACCTCCTATGCGTAAGCCAACACAGTTTTAAGGGACAAAGGGTCAATTATATTATTGGGAACATAGTGTTAACTCATTATTGGCAACAAAGGATTAACTGTATTATTGGGAACTTAGTGCTAACTGTATTATTGGGGAAAAGGGTTAACTGTATTATTGGGAACAAAGGGTTAACTGTATTATTGGGAACTTAGTGCTAACTGTATTATTGGGAAAAAGGGTTAACTGTATTATTGGGAACAAAGGGTTAACTGTATTATTGGCAATAAGGGGTTAACTTTATTATGTATTTGGAAGAAGGGGTAAACTGTATTATTGTGAAAAAAAAGGTTAATTGTATTATAGGAAATAAAGGCTTAACTGTTTTATTTGGAACACGGGGTTAACTGTATTATTGGGAGCAAAGGGTTAACTGTATTATTCATCAATATATCAATCAGATCTTTAGATCTAACGTCAAAATTTAATTGTTTTTCAATTGATATATTATTCCCTTGTTGTTGTACAATGCAACTTCCGCTTCAAGGTTAAGTCCCCCCCATGCGCATAACCTAGGTCCCAAAATTTGAATGTAATAAAAGAGAGGTCCCAAAAAAAGAATTTAATTAAAGAGAGGTCCCAAAAAGTGAATTTAATAAAAAGAGAGATTCCAAAAAAGTGAATGTAATATTTCAGTATTTCCTACAAATCAATTTAAAAATCGATTTTTAGACACATTGGACCATTTGGTCAGTCTAAGATTCCGGCCACTTGGCCACGAGCCTGTCTTCAATCTAACCTTTACAATTTTTTTGTGTTTTTATTTTTTTTGTTATTCTTGCACTTTTAAGTTCCAAATAGAAACTGATTCACATGTTCTAACAAGCTGACATTTAAAACATTTTGAATTCAATCTTAAACACGTTCATATTCATGTGTACTTTTCTACTTACAGTTTTTAAATTACCTATAATCTTTTTTTTTTAAATAGAAATTGAGACGTTTCATATCCTCGAAACTAATTTTGTTAACATACATCAATGGGATGTTATTTTGACCCACTTTTTGAATGATAAAGTTTTATATTATGCTCGTAGTTGGATGATCTCAGAGTCACAAATGCATTTTACTTTTTAATATTCATAGATACATTATTCAAAACAGATCTTCATTTAGTAAAGGTCCCAACAAGACTTAAATCTAAGAGTGACTAATTATTTGGGGACTTGATTTTGCAAATTAATTATGTAACATAAATTTGATATAAATTTATAAAAGATGGCCCATAGATTTTTTTAAATTGTTGGCTAACTCAACAATTGGTATGTTTTTTTTAAACACTAATTTATCAGTCCTGCTCCTATACCCAAGTAGTCACACTCGTAGCTCGGTTTGGCGAAATTTTCAATTCAAATCAAAGCATTTCAACAATATTAAACAATATTTCCTGTTAGCTACTTCTAAAAATAAACACACTTACCCACATACACAAAGAACATTTGAGTCGCTTGAATTAAGAACGTCTTCGGGTGAGTACAAAGGGACACAATCCTTTTGTTCAATTAGGTCATTAAAATAAGAAAGTTTTCAAGGTTTTTTTTTAAATTTACAAAAATGGGGCTCTGAATTCTAATGGCATCATCCATGGTCAAGTTACTGTCTGCCTTACATGCTGTCTCACTTTATGTCTTATTGTCTTACTTACTGTCCATTTAACTAAGCCATAGGTCATCTCAAATAACAATCACCAGTGATAAATCAATCATTTCCTAGTGAACCCGTCGTAACCAGGCAGAGTAAAGCTGTTATCAAACGGGCCAAATAAAGAATGAAGATTTTTACTGTGTGAGCCATCAATTCCGGATTTTGCAGTCAATGACAAAATTAAGACACAATTTTTCAATGACAAAGTAAAGACACAATGTTTGTGTGACAAAGTAAAGACACAATTTTTCAATGACAAAGTAAAGACACAATGTTTGTGTGACAAAGTAAAGACACAATGTTTCAATGACACAGTAAAGACACAATGTTTCAATGACAAGTAAAGGCACAATGTTTCAATGACAAAGTAAAGACACAATGTTTCAATGACAAAGTAAGGACACAATGTTTCAATGACAAGTAAAGGCACAATGTTTCAATGACAAGTAAAGGCACAATGTTTCAATGACAAGTAAAGACACAATGTTTCAATGACAAAGTAAAGGCACAATGTTTCAATGACAAAGTAAAGGCACAATGTTTCAATGACAAGTAAAGGCACAATGTTTCAATGACAAGTAAAGGCACAATGTTTCAATGACAAGTAAAGACACAATGTTTCAATGACAAAGTAAAGGCACAATGTTTCAATGACAAAGTAAAGGCACAATGTTTCAATGACAAGTAAAGGCACAATGTTTCAATGACAAGTAAAGGCACAATGTTTCAATGACAAAGTAAAGACACAATGTTTCAATGACAAGTAAAGACACAATGTTTCAATGACAAAGTAAAGGCACAATGTTTCAATGACAAAGTAAAGGCACAATGTTTCAATGACAAGTAAAGGCACAATGTTTCAATGACAAGTAAAGGCACAATGTTTCAATGACAAGTAAAGACACAATGTTTCAATGACAAAGTAAAGGCACAATGTTTCAATGACAAAGTAAAGGCACAATGTTTCAATGACAAGTAAAGGCACAATGTTTCAATGACAAGTAAAGACACAATGTTTCAATGACAAAGTAAAGACACAATGTTTCAATGACAAGTAAAGGCATAATGTTTCAATGACAAAGTAAAGACACGATGTTTGTGTGACAAAGTACGACACAATGTTTCAATGACAAAGTAAAGACACGATGCATCAAGGTTAAATGACTAATTTCCCTGGTTGAGATTTGAATTTCCCTTTTTTTTCTTCTGCCAGTTCTTGACAAATTATTGAAAGCTTAAAATCAATTATTATTCCTAGTTTTGACTCTGATTAATTTGTAGCTACATTGGGAAAACTTCATAAACTAAACAACATCTCTTTGCCGGGCAAATATTCAAAGTTTTCCTTTTAACAAATCTTTGTACACATTTCATCAGCCACTCAGGCGTTCCATCAATGGCGGTTTGGGGGAATGGTCAGTTATCTTGACATGTTACTACTGCTCGTAGGTGGCGCTATCAGTGAGTTTGTATGTTGGGGTGGGGTGGTCATTAAGATAGAAATATAGTACCGGTATTCCATTCATGGAGACGGGAATGCGGCTAAATGACAACAATGCAATTTTTCTGACATTAAACCCCCTTACGTAACTTCCTCCATTGCCACACCGGTAATGTTACACCACTGGGTCGACCTAGTTAAAATAAATTAACCTCAAAAAATGTATTGTATCAGATCAAATCCACAAGTAAAATTTATATATGTGTATTGTTGAGGAGAGGGAAATTTATTTTTTTTAAAATTCCATTCTATAAACCAAAGGGATTGAAATGATATCATCCCTGGCACTTTGACACGTAGAATGAAACATACATCGTGTGCGTCACACCAACCAGTTTAGATTGATCTTAGATTGAGTAGAAACACAGCGAATCATGATACCGGATTTGGACTTTCTAAAGTGATGGGGTAATCTCTTGT